GCAACCACTATTTCATCTTCAGTAATTAATAGGAAGAATGGATGAAGAGAGCTTATGAGGTTGCTGTGGAAAACAATAAGAAGTCAGCAGCAGGAAGGAAAACTTATTAGAACTGGAAAGCTCTAAACAGTGTTTTGAACCCAAGAGATAGATTTCTTGCCAGAACAGTGTCTAGAGATTCACTAGTAATATTAAGAAGACACAATTTATTCTAACACTGAGGAGAGAGTCTGTGTACATAGTGAAACTCAGAAGAGGTGTGAATATAAGTGAAGTAACTTTGTCTACAACTTCCAATTCCTTCTGATCACCTTTCTTCTGAGAACTTTAGCTAGAACACCAACCCAGAAAGGTAAAACACAAGCATAATGGCAAATAAGACAAAATATTAGGAATGGAATCCTAAGGGCTGTAAGTTTTACCAAATGAGATCACCTATAGCTAGAGAGAGACACCAATCTATTACAATTGCAACCAGAGATCAGATTTAGCAGGTGGGCTTCCAGTTTACAGAGATAAAATAATTGCAGTATCCAGATTATTATGAATAATTCAACATACAGAAGCAGGGTCAAGAAATATACACTAAGGCAAATACCATCACCTATCCAAATCCAATACTCATAACTAAGATTACCAAATACTTATTTGGGACATCCTGGAGATAATGGTTAAGACACCTTTTCTCATTCAGTATATAAGACTTTTGTCCAACAGTGGATAATACCAAGACAAATGACACAGATCCTATCATTTGGAATGAAATTCTACAGCTGCGTTATTTTTGTTTGTTAAATAAAACTTTTGGTTAATGTGATTCTTTTTATATCTAAAGGAGGACATAAAACTGGCCATGCTAGATCAGAGCTATGGCATGCCAAATGCTTCAATAGAGGGTGATTTTGAGTAATCTATCCCCTGTAATCCAGTCCCAGCTTCTGGTAGTTGAAGGTTTTAATGACACCAGAGTATGGAGTAGTATACCATTTTGACTAATAGCCATTGTTTGACCTATCCTTTTTTCACTGATTTATATTTTCAGGACATTTCTATAAGGAAAAAGATTGTTGTAAGACAATGGAAGAATGAAGCTCTATTTTCATTGTTGGTGTTTATGTATTTGGAGGTATTCATATTTTGAAGTACATTTACAACAATGTCAGAGTGGGCTTTTGTATTTAAAACAAAAGTTAAAAATAGAGGGTAGAGTTTCAAATGGGGGAATATTTGGAAGGGTTTCTCACTGTGGTTTTAATCTGCTAGATTAGCAATATCCTACTTCTGTATGGATTGAGATGTAAGAGCTAATGTAGAGATGGGGGAGATGCCTTAGCCCTTCAAAAGTAAGTAGGATTCCTACACTCCACTTTCTTGGTTAAACAGTTGGACAGACAGAGAAGCCCAAAGCAAATTGGAGTTGAGAGACAGCCTTCAAAGACTACGGAGAAGAAAATTCTACACTGGAATGTTAAGGAACACTACTAGGACCAGTGACTGTAAAATGATATACGGTCTCACAGAAATACAGTTTTGTTCAGATTTCAAGATAGTGTTGATGTGGCTATATAATCTTCCCAAACCAACTTTCCATTCAGAATGCAACAGAGCACCTGCATGCATACCCCACCGCCAATCACTGTTGCAATAATTGTAAGCGAAAATTGAGAGCCAGGAAATCTGGTCGATCTCTTTTGGACTTGGTATAAATAACCTAGTTCTTTACATTTCAAGTCTACTTATACACCAAAATATAATGCGCTCTCTCATGAAAAAAGAGGATAGCCAAAGATATAAAATTTGTAGGCCTGTTTATCTGCTACTATGCTGCTTTCCCTAATGTACTTCCCCCTTTACTCTCTGCCTGAGACATTCAACCCCCCTCATAATTTCTTCAGTTGCCTTCTCTTTATAAAAGTAGACCATCCAGTCAGGGAAGTCAATCCACTGCATGTGATTTAAGTGACCCTTCAAACCATTTACATAGTGAATTCCAATACAGTCATTCAAAAATAGGGTTTAGTGTTTGAAAGCTTATATAATCAAATATTGTTTATTATCCTAGGGAATTTATAAATAATGAACACATTCTTAAAAATTATGTTATGTTCATGAAACAGTTCAAAAATGAAAAAAGGCCAAATCTGACAATACGGAGTTCACATGCATAATTTCCAAGAAGAGAAAGGACCACTGTGATTATCTAATGACACAGAACTTCCCCCAAAATAATTCTATTGAATAGTTTGATGAGACATAATTACAAGCACATGGTTCACTATATATAAAAATATATTAGGTACTATCCTGCCTCAAACATAGCTATACCTTTTAAACACTGATAATCAAATATTAATTATGGTGGGGTTACAAAAAAAATTAAATCTTTTTAAAGAGAGGAATCTAAAAGGAACCTATTAATTTAAGGTAATATCGCCTCCATGACCTATCATAACTGGAATGCATACAATACAAAACTGTTTTAATTCTGTACATTGCACAGTGTATCACCTACATTAGATGTTTTAGTGAAACTGCACCTTCAGTAGTGCATGCTGATATGTCCCAGTCCAGCATAATAGAGTTATAATATCTGGTCCTGTAATGATAACAGGTACATTATTACTTTCCCACTCAGACTGTTTTACTTCTGTGTAGTCTATATTTTACAATCTTCAGTATTCCTGGATAGATCACAATTTAAGCTAGCTCTGTTTCTCTATATAAAGACACTATAATGATTGGATTGGGAATCCTAGCACATATATATTTTTAAAACAAAGCTTTCTACTTTAAGGAAAAAGTTCCTTTCTAATTCTACTTCTTGGATTTTTACATACACTATCAAAATTTCATTGTACAAGTTAACACGTATTGAAATTTTATCTCTAGTTTGAAGACTGATATAAACTTGGACATAAAATAAAAATTATATGCAACTTGCTCACTGTACACAACTCTCTTTCGGTACCATGTATTTCGGTATTGCTTTATGAGAAATATATGCTTCTGAGTACATCAGGATTATATACAGCCAGAAGACAAAATAACTAAATGAAAAAAAGTTCAGCAATAACCCTTTACTATTTGGTGCTTCTGCTTGATGATAAACAGTCTTCCCAGCTCAGTGAGTAATATTAGATGACTGAATACCACAATAAAAAAAGTTTCTAAAAAATTGAACAGTCTATAGAATCAGAAAAAGTGTCCAACAAGATATAGCTCTATTTTCAGAGTTGTGTGTAGGACATCAGCCACACAACTTTGGGTAACATTAATGGGAGTTGCCTGTCAAAAGCACTGTGCACCATGCTCAAAATTTTTTTTACAATATAAAGTTTGGGTTCTTTGGGAGGAAATACATGTAAACATATGCAGAATATAACCCATTTGTGCATTTTTTGCTAACCTACAGAAGTATCTTTGTTAGGGGATCATCTTTGAAATAAAGGCACAATCTTGATCAAAAACCCATTGATGTCTACACTATTTCATGAAATTTCTAGTGTAAGCCCTTGGGTCCTTAAAACAGTCCCTGAATGAAGGCACACAAGTGAAGTTTTTTTACTACAATATTCAGGATGTGTTTCAGAGTGTTAGCTATATAACTTTATGCCTGGGTGCCTTTGCTGAATTACTTATTAATTGGAAGTGTAAGTAGCTTCAAGGATTACTTTCCTTCAGCCAGAGGAATAATACAACCTCTAGCAGAGGGAAAAGATAGTATCAAAGAAAGATGTGGAACCCTTACATCAATTCAAGCATAAGGAAAACGCATAAGTTGACCCCATCATACACAGAGGAACAACATCACAAAAAGCCTGAGGCTAACAGGAATTTTGTTATCAAGACATAAGGATGCTTCTAAACATTAATATTGTAGAAAAAGACGTATTTCACCTTAAAATACACTTTTTTTTCAATATTAATGTTAGGCAATCAGATGGATAAAAAACTATTTAAAACTATTTAAATTAATTAAATAGTTTAAAAAATCACTGCCACGATCACAAGTAATGTTATAGAAACAAGCCAAGAAAAGGGAGATTTACTGTCTTTCCTAACGTTTTGCAATTTTTTGCAATCACAGCACGAGTCAAAGTTACAAGGTGAGTGCAAGCCAGCAGTTCTGCAAGCATTTGGGTCAATTCCAATTACTTTACAATGAAAAGGTAAAATACAGTACTAAAAAAAAAAAATCCTAGCAGAGTTATAGGGTGTCAATGGGGGGAAAATGGCACTGTCCACACCCAGCTCCCATAGCTGTTATCAGTGCCTGTAAAATTAACAGAAGAGAAACACTGAATCGAAAAAAATGGGCAATAACACGATTAAAGAGCAAGAAAGCAATACATATTGGATTGCTTTATGATTTCATAATTGCAATTTTGAGACCCTTGACCCTAACAAGCCCAGCTAAGCATGAATCCAAATACATCCCAGACTGGCATTTTAAAGTAGATGTTTTATCTCAGTGCATTTACCTACTACAAGATTTTAAATAAATTATTCAGCTCCCGAGAAATCAAGAACCCTTGAGTAAGCTAACAGTTTTTGTATTGAAAAGCTATTATGAGCTCAATTTGAACATGTGGGACAAATCTTACTATGTGCACTTACGTGCTTAACTTGGGGTATTTCCTTTAGTGCTACACCATATCAGACCAGCACACAACACAATTACCATTTTCTATCTGGAAAGAAACACATGAGAATGAAGAAAAAATGTCACAGGGCTTGTTAATGTCTTTCAGTTTGGAAATAAAAGGGGAGTGGCATCTGGCATTCTGATAGCTTAGTGACATAAACAGCATGCTGGAGGCTTAGCGTGACAGTGTAGTACATTCTTATCAACAGCGAGAGCCCTAATTAATTATTCCTCTATACACCAACACAGTGAAAAATAAGAGTAAGAAAGTAAAAAGAATTGTGACTTTTGACAATTATTAGTAAGAAAAACAAGATAATAATTGCCAAAAAAATCACAAAAGTTATCATGTTACCTGGCTATGACAAAGAGCACACAACTGACACCCAAGTAAGCCAGCAGAATATACATCCAGATATCAGGGGAGAGAGGATTCAGGAAGGAGAAGACGCCCGGGTTTGTACCATTGGGCTTGCGGTACAAAATACTTATTCCGAGAGTCATAAAGGGCTTGGAAAAGTCGATGACCTTCTCTCGAACATAGGTAATAGCCAGTGGTGCAACAGCAAGGTCAGCTTTCTGTCGACAAAAATATAAAGAGAAGAGAAACAGGCCATAAGTCAGAATAAGCGGCAGATGCAGGCAATCAAATTAAACAAAACACTGACTTTACAGTTGAGGAGGTCTGTCCTAGTACTTTTTAAGATTAAATTTAAAGCTACCCTCTTCCTTTTGTAAGGAAACTGATTTATTCTGCTTCTCTTTTACTGAGTGTATCTGAATTAACATGGCAATATTTAGAGATATTCATGAAGTAGTAACAGGAATGGAAGGAAAAGAAAGGTGAAATACAGTATCTTTCAGAGGACCTGTGTATTAGCATTTCCAATCTCTCTCTTAAAACTCCATTTGGCCTTGAGTGTCACTTATGTCACTTTTAAACTTTTAAATGTGCTCTCTGAAAAATAGTAATACATTTAAGAAACAGATGTGAACATAAATGCTTTTCAAATAGTAATTCCACAGACATAGTGTGAAACAATTCACAAATGAAAAAAAGCCAAATCTGACAATAAGGAGTGAAATCCTGGGTTTTCTGAAGTCAGTGGAAAACCTCCAGTTAACTTCTGTAGGGCATATAGGGTTCGTCTACACTGCACAGTAGCACAAAATAAAATAGGCAAAATTTCAAAACAATCCGCTATTCCGAAATGTCCCTTACTCCTCGTGGAATGAGGTTTATAGGGACATCAGAATAGCAAGCCGATAATTATTTCAAAATAATGGGCTTGCTGTGAAGACGCGGGATAGCTATTTAGGAATACTTCGGTATCCTGAAATAGCATTGCAGTGTAGACATAGTCATAGAGTATGATTCCTCTGACCATATTACTAGTTTAGCTCCAAAAATGTAATAGAAACAGGCCCATAATATCTTATATCTATACATTTAGAAAGAGATTCTGATTCCTTTACTTGCATCTTGTTCTAAGAGTAGACAAATTAACTTCAATGGGAATCATTAAAAAGTAACATACAAACAAAACAAGGAATGATATTCCAGATTGGTTGCAAAACTTTTAAATAGCTTTGTATGGAAATGGGTGGAGGAACTGGGAATCGGGAGGGAGAAAGTTGCTTATGTTCATTTTATCAGGAGAATATTTTGTACAACACAGTTTTATGTGACAATTAACAATCTAAAGTAATTACTGTTTTTATATATGCTGCACCTGCAAAACTATCATAGGGGACAATTTCTAGCTATGTAGCTATATCCTTACTAATTTGCATGAATGACTAGGTGACCTCATTGCAAAGTACTGAAGTTTTTGATCTAGGAGTAAGTGAACAATTAAATACAAAAAAAAAAAAAAGTATTTTGTCAGTGCAATTTAGTTTTAATTATGTCAAAAAATCATTGCAAAATACAAAATATATTGTATTTTGTAAAAATAATGACAAGTAACATGCAGTCTGTCTATAGAATTGACCAATAAAATTTGAATTGATGGTGGATGAAAGACTGCCAATGTTGTGGGATGATAATAAAGTATCTAAGTTAAGAAGATGCATATTAGCCAGATTCTATAGTAGGCTAGAGAGAGATAGATGTAAAGAGAGAGATGCTGTAGCTACTACGAAAAATCCCATATTATATTCAAAATGCCAATCCTATGCCTAAATGATACAGTAGATCTATAGGGTTTTTTTTTTAATTTATAATGATGTGGTATAGATTAATATAGTTTTCTTGGTTTGTATTGTGGATATAGCCAAAAATTCCATATGATTTGTTTCTATATACTTCAATTATCAATACATTTTTCTGAGTTGAATTACTTTGTGCTTGCTGCATACCATTTCATAAAGTTCTACAATCTACATACTCTATTTCATCTGTCCTATACATGTTTATAATGTCTTTGAATTTACTCCATGTATATGTTTGTTATTTATGCAAGGTCAAGTAACATTATGCATGTTATTTACCAGTGGCTCAATACTGCATACCACCTTCAATTTCCATTGACACTCAAACCTAAAAGGTATTAATTACGCCCTACTGTAGAAATGTTACATCATAGGAGAGATGAATATCAATATTTGTGAGCCACCTTTTACTAATGCCACTCTTGATCATGATGAAAGACTCTTTGTTGTCATTGTGCCCAACACAACACACACAACTGATATGGAAGTATCACTTCCCTGGACCCAGACAATAGATACTGTTGCATATCTTCTAAAATCAAGAAGGAAGTCTGCACGTGTAAACATTGCAATTGATATTGTAAAAGATACATGATCATTCAAGCCCAGAACTGCTCATTTTACCAGGTAAGGCACAGTGATTAAGCTACAAGACTCAAAGTAGGTCTACAATGCATGCTTTGTTTAGTGACCTGAAGTGGACATACCAGCATAGCCCCATAATAGGAATATAAACAGCAGTGTGAACGATGAAGCATGGCTTAGGCGAGAAAAGTAAAGATACACTTGATTGGTATGGATATGGATGCAAGTATGTACCTTGCATAGCTCTCTACCCACCCAAGCTTCACATCTCTTTATCAGTATACTATCCTGCTGCTGGAACCTTTCCTTAGTGTAGGGGAAAACTCACTCAGCAGAGAGGCAGTGGGAATGTTCTCTGGCAGTTCCTTGTTGATGGCAACTTCCCTCCCCACAGAGAAAGAGATCTACAGTGGAGAAAGTCTCTAGCAGCTCCAGCTAAGTATATAGATTCAAAGAACTCAAATAGTTTGGTAGCACTTTAAAGACTAACAAAACATGTAGATGGTATCATGAGCTTTCGTGAGCACAGCCCACTTGCCCACAAAAGCTCATGATACCATCTACATGTTTTGTTAGTCTATAAAGTGCTACCAGACAATTTGAGGTCTTTGAATTTATATTCGCTGTTTTTTAAGTTTATCCTGTTACAGACTAACTTGGCTACCCCCTGAAACTTCAAAGAACTCAGTCGTTTTAAGGCTTTTTCTTTTATCCTTCATCCTTCTTGTGACTATTCCCAGAACTCTCCCCAAATTTATCTTCCTTCTTGATTTGAGGGCACCAGAACTGGATACAATACTGCAGCAGCAGTTCTACCAGTGCCCCACAATAACCTCTCTAATTCCCCTGATTGTGTACTCCTGGACTGCCTTAGCTCTTTTGGCTGTAGCATTACACTGGGAACTCATGTTCAGATATTTGTCTTCCAGAACTCCCATATCCATTTCATAGTAATGGCTTCTCAGGATAGAGATCCACATCCTGTGAGGATGGCCAATACTATTTGTTTCTAGATGTATACCTTTACATTTAGTGGTATTAAATTACATTGTGTGCTTGCACCCAGTTTACCAAGCAATTTAGATTATTTTGTCCAAGTGTCCTGTCCTAATTTTTATTAATCGTATCACTAAACTTTGTGTCCTCTGCAAACTTTATCAGTTTATTTTTATGTTTTCTTCCAGGTAATTGATAAAAATGTTGATATCTTTATCAATAAAACTTGCCATCTCATAAAAAGATACCAATTTAGTTTGATTTTCCATATGCCCATATTGATTTGCCTTAATTACATTACCCTAATTTAAGTCTTTATTAAGTGAGTCCCATATTGGCCTCTCCATTATCCTGACAGGGATCAATGTCAGGCTTACAGGCCTATAATTACCAGGTCATCCCATTTGCCCCTTTGAAAAATTGTCACATAAGTTTTTTTTGTCAGTCATTTGGAACTTCCCCAGTTCTCCAAGATTTATTGAAAATAAACATTAACAATCCATCAAGATCCTCTGCCTGCTCTTTCAAAACTCTTGGTTTTAAGTTGTCAGCACCTGCTAATTTTTTAAATGTCTAGATTTAGTAGCTTCTGTTTAATATCCACAGAAACTGGGACATAGGGAAGAGTTTTATTAGCACATATATTATAGAACAGAAATAATTCTGCATTATTAATGATATTACTGAAACAAGTTGGACCTCCCTGGTCCAGCAATGTTGAGACCAGAGAATTTTCTGAACCAGGGGAGGTGTCCCCTGCCAACAGCGCCAAGCCAGCTGGCCCTCTGCCTTTTATCGTCCTCCTCCTCATCATCATCAACTACCATGGGCTCCATGCCTGCTGGTGTCCAGTGCCTCCCTCACTATTTCCTTCCAGCTTTCCCTGTCCAGTGCAGAGTGGCTTAGTTTCTGTAGATTAGCTCCGCACCAATCTACTATATCATCTACCCATTCTCTGTAGGGTCTGTCTCTCCTATTCGGACCATCCATTATGCCAAATACCAGGGTCTTAACTTTTTGCTCATCGTTCATTCTGCAGATATGCCCGAATATCTTTCTGTTGTATAACCTTCTGCAGTAGGTTCTCTTTCAGCTGTATCTTCCTGTATAATTCCTCGCTGGTGACCTTCTGCATCCATCCTATTCTCAGGATCTTTCTATAACAACTCCTCCTGAATGTCAATATCCTTCTCTTTGAATCTTTCGTTATCACCCATGTCCTACATCCATGCAACATGCTGCTAAACACATGTTTTCAAGATGCTCAGCATCATTCTTAAGCTAATCGCTTTATTTTTCCAGATCTTATCCATCGCCTTCAAACTCACTCTTGCTTTCGCTATTCTAGTCGCTATTTCCTTCATACAGTCTAGATCATATGTCATGTTGCTCCCCAAATATGTGAACTTTTCTACGTTCTCTAGTTTGATCCCATCTACACTGATCTTCCTTCCTATTTTCTTATCTCCAAATTGGTCTACTATATTCCTCTTCTCCCTCAGTCAGGCTGTCTATCCTGCTTCCACCACCCTCCAGTCCCTGCCCTCTCGGCTCCAGGTTTCCATGGGTGTTCAGGGTACTCAAGGCTCCAGCCCCACACTGCCACGGTTCCCTGGCCCTGCACTAATGTGGGTGACTAGTTTTACCCAGCTCTGCGCTGCTGCTTCCATGGGTGACCAGATTCCGTAGTTCCATGCTGCAGCAGTCTGTGGACTTCTCTGTCCCCTTGCTACCATGCCAGCAAAACATATTCTTCTTCCAGCCTTGTGCTGCCACGGGCTGCT